TGATTTGCAAATATATCCACATAAAATATCTTTACTCATAAGAACTTTTGCTTTTGATAATTCCATAACAATTTTACCTATGAAAATTAGGTTGTTCCATCACCAAGTTAGTAAATAGCCCATTGAGACAATATAGGCAGTAATTAAATAGAAATGCACTTCAGTTTTGGACCTTTTATTTATTTTCTTTATACTTAGGCAAATTAGTAGGCAAAATCTAGAGCCAGGTTTTGTTGTTTTGATCACTCTATACCTGATACAATAGTAAAATGCTAAAGAGGTATGGGAGAAAAGAGGGGTTGAAAATACACACACATGTTTCTTTACTAAATGGAGATATTCCATATTATGGGTATATCTAACTGCATGAAGTCTATAGTACTTACAGGAAGAAGTGATCCACTCAATAACTCTTAGTGATGTATTCACTGGTTTTTCTAGTGATCAATGTATAACTGGTGTACATGCTGTCTCCCTGATGAAGAAAAATAATTTCGTTTATACTAAGACCTAGGAACAAAGGGTGAAGTTGAGGGGCATTTGAGGGGCCAGAATTAGGCTGAGTTGGAAAGGCTGCTGGACAAGTTTCAAGCTCATACACTGGGCCCAACCCGGGATGTAGATCCATTTTGATAGTGGCAGTACCCCAGGGACAAGAACTCCTACAGGCCCAATACAGAGAGAAACTTGCCACAAGAATTGGAATCAAGAACTCAAATGCATCAGATGACTATTGTGATAATTGTGCTGTGCAGCACACTTACCTCTACAAAATTTGGGATGCAGAAGTCCTTTTCCTCCTCTCAATTCTAACACTTTAGCCACATGGCCTTTTCTGTGTATTTCGTCCCAGTTCATACTCTGTGTCTAAAATAATACTTTTTTTTCAAACTCGTTTTTTTGTCCAAATTTACTTATAGATGTTTAGGGTATTATCAGGGGACCAAGATACTGTACCTTGAAGATTATTCAGCATTTTGTCTAAATGAAAGCTTTCCAGAGTCGCCTTGTAACATGGTGTGATACTATAGCCACCCACTTGACCGGGTCTTTATCCTAAAGTCCTATTTTCCTAAAAGTCACCTGGTCTTTTGCTTCTCTAGTTCTTATTAGCAACCCCACCTTTGCCTTTATATTTTAAGGATTTTTTTTCTGGGTAGAGGCTAACAGTAAGAGACTATTTTATTTTCTAATTTCACAACTTCCATTGGTTCTAAATTTTGCTAGAAAACTGGGCTTTTCTCTTTTTATTTTTCTGGTACCAAGCTTTGATCTCAGGGATTTGAGTTTAATCAGTTCTCTTGACCAGCTAGCACCCTATTATGTGAGCCCTACTACTTGGCACCCTACTGTTTGGGCCTCTTGCCCAGTTTTTTACTGGTTATTTTAGAGACAGACTTTCAGTGCTTTTGGCTCAGGTTGGCTTCAAATCACAATTTGCAAATCACACAGTACTAACTGGGATGAAATACACAGAAAAAATCATAGAGAAGGCCATATGGCTGAAGTATTAGAACTGAGAGGTGGAAAAGGACCTCTGTATCCCAAATTTTGAGAGGTAAGTTTGTTGCACAGCATGATGACCACAATCATTATTCCTCAATTTCATGAAACACTCATAAAATAATCTGACTAATAATTATTTCTACATAGCTGCTAGTCCTATTTACAGTACTTGTAATTGTGCTAGTCTATTAGTGAATGGATTATCTAAGACCAACCTGACAGTATGAGAATTGAGGCTGTAGCAAATACAGACTTGCAAATGTGTGAATTCACTTTCCTTATAATACCTCTGTTGATGGTAGCCAACAAGGCTTATCTGTTCAAAGCATACAAGTTAAGGATTTTACCACTGAAGTTCCTGAAAAATTTAACTTCCAGCATGGGATTAATGGACCAATGTTCCTAGGAATATGGGTTTAACAGAGATAGCATTGACAATTAGCTCCTTAAGTTCTACAGATTTAACTCAGCCCTTCTGATGATCTTCTATTAACTCATTATTGTAGACTTAAAGCAGAAGGGCTGGACCCTACTCATTCCAAAAAGGATCAGTAAACTAATCATATACCTGGACAAGAATGTATCATTCCAAATCAAATGTTTAGGCAAATGTCCTAGCATATTGACTTACAGCACATTTAAACTTTGGTATGACTGGTATACTTTGTTGGGTTTTTAAAAAGTTTATTGCCAAGGTGATGTACTGAGGGGTTACGGTTACATATGTAAAGTAGTGAGTACATTTCTTGTCCAACTTGTTATCCTCTCCCTCATTTTTTTTCCACTTACCCTTCCCCCAATCCACACCCCCTCCCAAGTTGTACAGTTCATTTCCAACATACTAGTAAACCTTGGATTTAACTTCTTTTGATGGGCAGATACAACTTCCTAATGTTATTCTCATGTAGATTTGGCAAAAAAAAATTAGCTGTAAATACAAGGCATCTCTCAGTTTGAGCTTGTGCTGAAAGTTAGTTGATCACAGAATATTCAGTCCTAGTCCCCCAGAAGCAGGTGTGTAACCTTGGGTTCTGCAAAATAAGTTCATTAGTTTGTTAGTCTCAGGAGAGGCTTAGTTGTAACCAGCTTTATTTTATGGAGGTTATGGCTGTCATATATACTTTATATATGTTGTTTCCTTCTTTTCCACTTTCAACTTGGAAAAAGCTTTAGCTCAGAGAAGTTAAGTAACTTGTTTTGGATCATCAGATAGTAGGTGGTACACTAAGATCTGAAGACAGGCATGGAGGACCCAGTGTCCCTCCTATATGTCCTGGTCAGTACATCAGAACATGGGATATCTACAGGAAGAGAGTGGGCTATCCAGGCAAGATTGTCCCAGAGGCAGAGCTGTAAGTCCATTGCTTCCTCATACTGTTTAGTAGCACAGTCTATTGTGAAACTGGAAAGCCTATATTTTTTCATGGACAGAGGATCCCAGCCTCTTGTTGGAAACATACTGCAATTTCCTCTGCAGACAAAACCAACCCAAATGTTTGTTCTCAGAATCATTCTGAGCTATTCAGCTTTACAAAGACTTTAGTGGAAATCTATAAGACTTCTACAACCAAAATGTTGGCAGAGATTAGTTCAGTATGGTAATTTCAGTACCTGTCTATGAAATCAGAAGATAATGAGCACTGGCTGTTCCACTAAGAGGTATTAGCTGCATGTCATAAAATTGATCTAATTGATCAATTTTATTATCTCATTGTATTATCTCATGCATTATCTCAGTGAACAGCATTGTGAATACCAGAACTCTAGAGTCTTCCTTGATTCCTCCCTCCTTTCCCAGACATGTTCCTTAGTCTCACTCCTACAGCCTCCAAATCTTAATAAATCATTGCTGTAATCAACTTCGCTTAAATCTACCCACTTCTCTTCCAGCTCTTACAGTATGCCAATAGAATTCCTGAAGCTGCCTCTTCACAGATCTCCTAGGGGATCCTATCAACATACACATCAATCCAGATCATTCAGGTAAGAGCAGTACCCACATTCTTTCCTGCTATTGTTCTTACTTTAAGCTTTGTCTTCCTTTTTGTCTTTATGTGCCTGGAATGTCCTTGCTTATCTAGCCACACAAAGAGGCACCGAGAATGTAAGAGCAGGAACCATGATAGGTATGCACATACACCTATTTTGCAATGTGTAGGACCAGACCTGGAAGGGCACCTACTAAAACTGCTCATAGGAGCACAGAGCAATGATGTACTTTTTAGTTTGTTGGAGTTTTTATAGTCAGATTAACTTCTCTTGATACATTATCAATTGTATTTCCTCACACTCAGCTCCATAGAGATACTGATTAATAGGCAAGTAAGTGTTCATAATCCTGATGTTCCAAAATTTCCCAGAGATTCTTTAAGTAGGAAGTCTGAAGAAAGGTGTCTATGGTAGTTGTTTCCAGTATTATGAGGCAATTGACTTTTGAGAAATTTGCAACATAGCTATGATGAGTGATGCTGCCATAAATGTAGATGTGCTGGTAGCTTTAGTATGGCCTTTTTTGTGGTCATTTGGGTAAATTCCCAGAAGTGGGATTGCTGGGTCATAGGGGAGCTCTATGTGGAGTCTTTTGAGGACCCTCCATACTGCTTTCCAAAGTGGTTGAACAAGTGTACACTCCCACCAACAGTGCAGTGTTCCCTTTTGGCCACATCCCCTCCAGCATCTGTTGTTATTAGATGTCTTGATTCTAGCCATTCTAACTGTGGTGAGGTGGAATCTCAATGTTCTTTTGATTTGCATTTCTTTTATGGCTAGAGAAGTTGAAATTTCTTCATGAGTCTATTGGCCATTCTTATTTACTCTTCAGAGAAGTCTTTCTTTAAGCCTTTAGTGCACTTTATCTATGCTTCCATCAGAAAGAATGACACTGCTCCATTTGTAAGGAAATGGAAATACTTGGAAAAAATCATGTCAAGTGAAGTTAGCCAGAGCCAAAGAAATATAGCTTCATGGTTTCCCTCATTGTAATAATTAGTAAGTATATACCTAGAAGAGGATTACAATAGCTCAATACTATGTACAAATGGCCATATAAGATGATGATAAGCGAAATGAACTCCAAGACATGGACACAAGAGGTTTTTCCTTGTTGTTGTTTTTAATGTACTATGTGATTTTTTTGTTTCTTTTGTATGTTCTTCTCCCTATGGTATATCCCCTGTTGTCATTGTATTTGATTTTTGTACCCTAGTATTGTATATACATTTATCCAAATTATGGAAGGAGAACAACAGAATGGCGAGACAAAGAACAAGGGGGGAACCGATGCAACAGTGATAGTCATAAGACAGTATGTTGGAAATGATCTGAACAACTTGGAGGGGATTGGGGGAGAGGGCAAGTGGGAGAAAAGAATGAGGAAAGGGGTAACAAGAAATATACTTATTACCTTACTTATGTAACTGTAACCCCTGTGTACATCACCTTGACAAGAAAAAAGAAATTAGCAACTTTATTATACAACTCTATATTGTCTTTTATTGTGTTCAATTCTACTACAAACAAATGTTCTCTAAATGTATTCGATTTAATGATCTCTAAGAATTGTAATAGCATGTGCAGCCATTTTATTTTAGTCACATTTGAATAAAAGGCTTAAATATTTATTGTAAATCACATATTTAGGAGATAAGGTTCACAAATCATTTTAAAATTAAGACAAAATAATCCAAGGTTCGTGAAATAAATTCTAACCTTAACTTAGATACTAATTGATTGGTTCCCCAAACCCTGAGCATTCTCAAAATATCAAGTAGAAAGTGATTACAAATATCAACCTGCTGTAAACATATATTACTAAAGCTTTTGAAGTTTCTGACTTTGACAAAAGATAAAGATGCCAGTATTGTTGTATTAGCTTTTGAAAATATGTATGTTCTAAAACTCAGACATTAAGGCATCTATTTCCTTAAACTTGTTAGTTATCTTCTCAATACATTCTCCAGCTTTTAATTTTATTCCATCAATTACAACACAGTCATCTTCCTGGTGGATCTGACATGAACTGCTTTCCAGAGCTTCAAGACTGCATTCAGATAACTGCAAAACAACCAGAGAATTCATTAGAACGTTACTTCACTATTAGAATAAAACAGTAACTTTTCAAGCCACATCAGTATACAAAGTTTTCTTTGCTGGTAATCAAATAATGAACCCCAAATATAATAGTATAATGTATCCTGTGTATGGTGAAGTTATTATTGGTTGGGCACCATGGCTCATGCCTATAATCCCCACTACTTGGGAGGCAGAGATTGACAGGATTATAGTTCTATATCTTAGCGAGACTCTATCTCAACAAATAAGCTAGACAGGAAGGTACATGACTGCTACATAAGAGCTAAACCCTAGTGAAGTTCCTGTGGACCAAGGTTGGCTCCAGGTAAAACATTACGGTCCTATCTGAACAATAACTAAGGCAAAATAGTACTGTAGGCATGGCTTAAGTGGTAGTGCATCTGCCTAGCAAGTTCAAGGTCTTGAGTGCAAACCAAATGACTGCTCTCTCACAAAAAAGTTATTATTTAAGCTCTGTTTCTAATTCCTCAATATTGCCACATTTGTTTGGGACTATGTAAACATTTTTTATTTTAATTAAGATTTTTATTAGTATACATTAGTTGTACAAGGAAAGGCTTCACAATGGAAACTATTTCCATCACTCTAACCCACTGTGTATCACTTTCCCTTTGCCCCTCTCCTCTTCTTAAAACTATTTCAACAGGATTCATTTCTCTTTTCTCCTCCATGTATCTAAAGTAATTTGACCACATTCACCTCCATCTCTTTCGCAATCTCATTGGCCTTTCCCTATCCCATTGATACCCTTCCTCCAACAGAACCTGTCATTCATTTTTTTTGTAGACTTTAATTGTACCATGGAGTTTCTCCCTGGTATTTGCATATGCCTATATTATATTTTAATTAATATCTTTTATTCATTTTACTTTCCTACTCCCACTAAGCTAATATTCAACAGATTTCAGTGAGATTCCTTTTGTCATTTTTGTATTTTGACATACTATATTTTGATATTAACCAACCCCCAAAGGTTTATTTTCAAAATTATAACTAGGAAGGTGTAATCACAGTTTCTGTAGTTAGCTTCTCCTAGCTTATTTACATTGAACAGTCACTATATGTTCTAGCTGAGTAGGGGAGAATAGTGGTAAAATGTGTGTATTCATCATACGCATACACATGAGATTTATAGTTTCGAGTTTATTAATGTTAGGACTGACTTCTCATGCAATTCAAAGAGAAAAAAGAACATACTTGTAGTTTATACATTTTAACATATAAATTGTACTTTTAAGTCCAAATTATTATGTAGCAAGTCATCATATTTGTATATAATTCCAATTTTTTAATTACTCAGGCATATTTAGAAAAATTTAGTTAATTTCCTCCAATTGCTTACCAAATCAGGATCTGCCACTTTTAATATTAGCTAAAGGAGAGCCTAATTAAGAAAGTGACTCTACCAAGGAATATGATCTCTAAAAGCACTTCAGTGACAAATAGGAAAGAATTCTGGTAACATATGGTATATGATTTTTTCCTAACGTGGTATTATTTTCACCCACTGGTGGAAATGCTGAAGGTATTCATTTCACAGGTGAAATGAATGATAAAAAATATGATCAAGCCAGGTGCTGGTGGCTCATGCCTGTAATCCTAGCTACTCAGGAGGTGTCGATCTGAGGATTGCAGTTCAAAGCCAGCCCAAGCAGGAAAGTCTATGAAACTCTTATCTCCAATAAACTGCCAGAAAACTGGAAGTGGTGCTATGGCTCAAGTGGTAGAGCACTAGCCTTGAGCTGAAGACCTAAGGGACAGTGCTCAGGCCCAGAGTTCAAGCCCCACGACTGCAAAATATGTGTGTGTGTGTGTGTGTGTGTGTGTGTGTGTATGATCACATATACAGCTGTGAAAATAGCTTTAAATGATCAGATAAAACCTTTTTAAAAAAAAATGTTTTTCTTTTTTTTTGTGAAAATACCATACAGAGGGGTTACAATTACATGGCTGGAGGGGATGTGGACAGAATGGAACCTTACTGCATTGTTGGTAGGTGTGTAAACTTGTTCAACCACTATGGAAAATAGTATAGAGGTTCCTCAAAAGACTCCACATAGAGCTCCCCTATGACCCAGCAATCCCACTTTTGGGCATTTACCCCAATGATCACAAACAAGACCATACTAAAACTACCAGCATGACTATGTTTACTGCAGCATTATTTACCATAGCTAAGATATGGAACCAACCCAGATGCCCCTCAGTAGATGAATGGATTAAGACAATGTGGTATATATACACAATGGAATTCAATGCCTCAATCAGAAAGAATGACATTGCCCCATTTGTTAGGAAATGGAAAGACTTGTAAAAATTATATTAAGTGAAGTAAGCCAGGCCCAGATAAATCCTTTCAATGTGTTTAGCTTATCAGAGGGTATTTCTCCTAAAAAGACATCGCATATCTCCAGTGTAGGTACAGTTGTGTTTGGAAGCCATATTAGTTCTTTGTACTAACCAAAAGAAACCAAAGAAGATATCCCAGAGGTGATTATTTGTATACTTTCAAACTGGAAACCAACTTTGATGGTTTTGTTGCTATTTCATTTAACAGTGAACAGGGCCCTTTTAATCTTGAGCCTGGCAAGAGTATGGAGAACAGTAAGGAGCCTGCCAGAAGGTGGCACTCCTACCATGCGGCAAGTTGAAATAATTACTTTTTACAATTCCTGAATGCCTTTTGAAAGCATAACATAAGAATTTAAAATAAAAGCAAGCCCCTGCCTAATGACATAATAAAAGTATGTACTTTATTATAAGAAATAAAAATCAGAAATAATTTTCTATTCTATGAAGTCACTAGTTTTTAATGGCAAAATCGAAACCAATTTGTTGACTGAAAAGGTTCCAGGACATCACTGTAAAGGTCAACCTGTCTGTAATTTTGAAAAGAAAAACTGTTAGGACTGAAGAAAACATGGACCAAACATAAGATGCCCAAATAAAGAAGACAATTGCTAGAAAATAGTAATTTATATATCAGGTGTACTTAAGATGGATGACATCTGTTTATATTATAGATCTTATTACACAACAGATCTGCACAGAAAAACATCTTTTTAGAAAGGAACTTCAATTGGTATGTATAATGCATGTAAATTCATGTAAGTTGGATGGTCAATTTAATAATGTTTTTCAACTCAGCAGGAGTTGGCATTAGTTTTATTTTCTTATAACACATTTATCTCTCTGATGAAAAATTATGCATGTTTCCTTAATTTCTAACTCAATATATCAAGTGTTCAAAAATTCCATCTTTAGCTGGAAGTGGGTAAGGCTGCTGAGGAGGAGAGGGAGTATATGCCTGTAATCCCACCACTTGGGATGCTGAGGCAGGAGGATCGCAAGTTTGAAGCTAGCCTGGGTTACCTAGCAAAACCCTTTCTCAATAAGACAACAATAACAAGAAGCCTCCTTTTTGTACTTGCTGAAGTTAGAAATGAAATCAGTATGTCAGCCAAATGTAGAAGCCACCTTTACCTTTCTAAATACACTTCTTTCATCTGAAAACAGACTTGGGATGGCAGCTGTTTAAATGAAAATGTGGTAGATAAGATAATGAAGTGCTCATTCTCGCTAGAAACTATCATTGCCTACTCTCATATATAATGCTATCTGATTGTATGTCTAGCATTTATTCTAGTTTACCTTATTTAGTCCTTAAAATGATTGTCCAAGGCAGGTGATGAATAATTTCACTAAATTATACGTATCTTTAATGGTAGGACCAGGACTTGGAGCACTTGGGCATTATATTTGAGTTAATTTTAATATGTTCTTTGGATGATATTCACAGTATATATCTGAATGAATGAATGAAGTCTTAAGCCTATTTTCTAACTATTTAAGGAGTAACTGTAGTACTTCGTATATACACACACAGCTGTGTGTAACTTATTTTTCTCACATCTATAAGATTGGATCTTTCCATTAATGATCTGAGTTTTGTTAAAAATTCCTCATTTTATTTCCAAAGACACGAATAAAGGAAGCACATATGGCCTTCCCGAGTTCAATATAATTAGACAAAGGGGGACAGTAACCAGATATAAATGGTGGACCTTATGTGAATAATGAAGTTTTATAGAGGTTATTCCAATGCGTAGACCAGACCTGGCACATTTTCCAAACAGCTGACATCCTTACTCAGTGACCATCTTTATTGTTCTGGCCTTTGTACCTAACTGCGAAGGTCAGAACAGGGAAGAGGTCTTTCTATAGTAGACTACCTCAGCTATCACAGCCCCTCCATCTTCTATCCCAAACCTAAAGTTTTAAAATTAAAAAAAAACAATTCTGCTTAAATTGATGTATTTCTGATTTTTATCACTGGTTTATTACTCACAATATGATAATCAAGGCTCAACTTTCAGATGTATAAAAGGTATTCTGTGAAATTAGAACTGTGCAACCAGGAGCAATTTAAAAAATTTGAAGTTGCTACTATTTAAACCTCATGATAAATACCAATACTACCTTGTCTCCTGTATTGATTTCTTCTTGTTCTCCCTTAGATCCATCAGGCATTGATGTGGGCTCAAGTGCTTGTTGTAACATTTTTTCCAGCTCTTTCAGTAAAATTTCTGTTTCAGTGACAACTAAAGGGAAATAATTTAACATAGTATATCCTTTAATTACATTTAATTCATAACCTTAATAATCCAGAAAGAAAACTTGCAAATGTTACAGTGTATGATCCTTGTTTATGCAGAATTACATTTTTATCTTCAGGTAAATCTCCTGTAATTATTTGAAAAGTGTGATATACTTATTATGCACACACTATTAAATAACTTTGAAATATCAAAATCTTAATGGAAAAGTTGCTGTATAGTTTTTTAAATTATGGTCCCAAGATACTAAACTAGATTTTTTGTAATTTTTTGAAGCTAATGATCCAGATGATCCCTATAATAACTGTTCAGTTCTGCTATTGTAGTAAAAGCTATAGTCATGCACATAAACAAACAAGAATGGCTATTTGAATAAAACTTAACTTACAAAACAAGCAACAGCTGGTGGCCTGTGGGTCAGTTTGCCAACCCATACTATGGGCTACTAAAACTGTTTAAAAGGAAAACCAAAGCATGTAATCCTGGCTACTTGGAAGGCTGAGCTCAAGAAGATTGTACTTTGAGGCTAGCCCATGCAGAAAATTCTTGAGACCCCCCCCCCCCGCTTCTCTAACAATAGCTGGGCCCAATGATGTGTGCCTGTCCTTCTATCCAGGTGGGAAGCTAAAGAAAGTTACAGTTCCAGAACAGCCCAGGGAAGAAATTTCCATGAAATTCTAACCCAAATGAAGAAATCTGGGTGTGAAGTGAAAAATAATTATAGTCCAGATGTGCACTTGGGCAGAAAGTGAGGCTTTAACACAAAAATAACCCATACAAAGAGGGAAGGAGAGGGAGTAGAATAGGAATGTGATGTATAATGTGAGTTTGTTCAAAGTGCACTGTGTACATTTACGGAAATATCACAATGAAATCCTCTCATACTACAAATATATGTTAATTTAAAAAATCAAATAATTTAAAATAAACAACAAGGGGGGAAACTTGTTGATAGAGTACCTAATTTTGAAGCACAAGCTGCAAGCTCAAACCTGAGAGAGAGAGAGAGAGAGAGAGAGAGAGAGAGAGAAAGGGGGGAGTCGAGTTGTTCATCCATTTCTAACCTAAATTGCAAAATATCTCAGTTCTCCAATTTTGTTGTAGAAAAGAAATTACTGCATTTATAAAGTATATTTTGCATTACTTTGATGCAAATTTTTAGGCAAAAAAATAATAATCTCATTGAACTTGATTTAAAAATAATTTCCCAAACAAATAAAAGCCTGTATCACTCTATAAAATCAAAACACCAATTAACAATATGAATTTGAATTCTTGACTCATATTTTTATTTTATATAGGGTCATGTTGATGCAAAGATCACAGAAAATAGGCCATATGTAACCTGCTGTGCTACACCAGAGACAGATGGAGAATCAGAAAAGCCCTTCCAACAAGAATATAATTTGGAGGGAACAGCCATGAGTCTATATCCCTTCATCTTCCACTTTGATTACTAAAAACTAACATACCACCTCCTACTATCTGCCATTTTGGCAGGTTATCAAAACCCAGGTAGAGCAGCTGAAAATTCATGGAGCATTAAAATACATACAGAAATCACATCAAGAAAAATTCTAGTCCTGTTAAAACGGTTATTAATGATAGTGTTAAATAAAATCATGTCAAGTCATAAGGCAGAAAGTTTCTTTCTTTGAGTATAACATAAGGAATAAAGATGAACAAAGCACATGAAATGCATATACAGGATGTCACAAAGAAAAGATTGTATAATTGATATGTACTAATAAAAATATCTTTAAAATTTACCTTTATTACTTGTTGCTATAGTAGTGGGAATATAATTTTTCATCTTACATTGTAATTTTGTCTACAAAAATTATTTTTGTCAGTATTATTCTCCCTAAGCACTTTCAATCAACAAATAACTACTTTATTAGGATCTATTATGAACCAGAAACTCAAGAGAATAAGTATGGACTAATAAACTTTCGTGGTCATAATCTCTTTCTAGTCAATCTTAACCACACTTCTTTCAAAGCAATCTGAGCTGGGTCTGGTGGCACATACTTGTAATCCCAGAACTCAATAGGGTAAAGTATGAGGATGGCAGCTGGAGGCCAACCTGATCTACTCAGCTTAACTCAGAAAGAAAGAAAGGAAAGAGAAAAAGAGAGAAAGAAAGAGAGGGCGAGAGAGAGAGAGAAAGAGAGAGAAAGAGAGAAAAAGAAAGAAAGAAAGAGAACAACAAAAAGTAATAATTTGGAAGATGCTTTCTGATAAGCCATTACACACACTTTGGAGTAATTCCTCAAGCTAAAAAACAAACAAAAACTACAGTGTTTTTACCTAAACAAAAACAGGTTGCTAAAGCCTAAGAACACAGAATATTTCCTTATAGAACGATGCCATTCAAAATCTGATGGACATAGAATTGCCTGAGGGACTTATGTAACAATATAGACAAAACTACATGTCCACTGAGTCAGAATTTTCTAGAAGAATGTAGTTTCCATTGAAGTGCTTTTAATGCAATTAACTTCCCATTTGGGGTAGATTTCTTATTAGTAACCTACTAATATATAAATAGTATGGTTGTACTCATAATGATTTTCCTGTCTTACTCAAAAGCACATTTTCCTGCTTCATATTCTAACTCCATGGAAACTGACACTGTTGAAAAAATGGATTTTGAGTCATACTAGAAAGGAAAAGTAGTCAAGAAGCATCTTTATATTTCTAATGTTAGGCTAAAATATAATCAATTTTAGGTAACAAATGGCATTGTAAGCTCTTATTTTTTAAGTGATTTAGAGAAATGCCTACAGTGCCTTCTGGTCAGAAGGGACCAGGGTTCATAACAAGTTGGTGTCAAGTTAATTTTCTATTCTGCTTCCAAAGCAATGAGAGGCTTGTTTCCTAAATAGGTATTTCGAAGTTGTAAATTGGAGTTCCAAAATAATACTCTAGAAATAGCAGTTACTGTAACCTGTAAAGTAGGTTATCAAAATTTCTCAATAAATACTCCAAAGAAAGACAAAGTGAATCCCTTTGGCAATTATATGACCCATCATCTTCTATCAATACTGATTACTCTATAGGTTTCCTGACTTGTTTCCATTTTTTGTTGAGAATAAAGTGATACCATTACAGTTACCACTGATGTGTGTGTGTGTGTGTGTGTGTGTGAGAGAGAGAGAGAGAGAGAGAGAGAGACAGAAGCAAACACAGACACAGACATAGACACAGACAGACAGACACAGAGAGAGACACAGCGAGAAAGAGAGAGACAGAGAGACAGAGAATCTCTAATACTGAAGTCCATCATATCTGGCTTGTAAAGGCAATGAGTGTAAAATCAGTCACTGTTCTTTTTTCATTCCTGATAAGAAACAACACTCTGTTTCAGTAAATGTAATTTTTTCATTCTTTTCTTCTGTATAAAAACATTAAAAAATACTTCTTCCCCTATTTAATGGCTATGAGTTTAGATACCCCAAGTTGCCTTGGAAAAACTAACATTTCAGGGCAATTTCATTGCTGAAATTCTAGAAGAGGAGGAGAAAGTTGAAGAGGAAGAACAAGCATTTGCTTTTTTAAGTAACCAGACTTCTGTGTGCTTTCAATATAAACAAATAGATGAGAAAAGTACAAGTTGAGATGCAATCAAGACTACTCTTCTTAAATACACAAACAGGAATAAGAAAAAATAGTGCTTTGGGAAAATTAGACAGAGGGAAGAAGAGATGAAAGTTAATACAACTTTTTAGCTTGGAAGTAAAGAAAATGCCAAACTAAGAGGCTGTAGGCATCTTTTTTTCCCTTGAGTAGCAAGATAAAACATTTCATCCTTCCTATTCCTAGACCCAGGCTCTTACATCTTCATGCTTCCACTAAGACTCATTCCAGAAACCAAATCTTTCATATATTAACTATTTTCTTCCAAGCTTATATGGCTCCAGCGGAAGAGAGAAAAAAAAAACTTTTTAGCATCTGGGACTATAAGGAAATAAGTAAGGCATAAATTCAAGAAGATGGAGAATATGGGATAAGTTTAATGTTTGATGCAAGACTGACTCTAACTTAAGCTATTATAACAATGGCTATTCCTTTGTGAATTATTCTTTGAAGAGTTACTTCCCTGCCCTTTCTCTGACATTCTAAATTCAAAATGGAAGCCAAATCTAATTGATGAAAGGTAATAAACTTGTGGTATCTGAAGAGAAATCCTAATGTTTTATAAGATTAATATGTTACTGATAAATTATCTCTCTTTATAATTTCAGAACAGAATATCTGGTGACAGTATCTGAATATGTAAAGCCCCTATTCATTCTTTAGTCTTGTATATCAATTAATATGAAGTATGTAAGTTCCTTTGAGGTTTAATTTGTAGAAAAGTTAGATGTCTATTGAAAGAGCTATAGAAAATAGCCTGAGGAGGATGAGGTATATTGGTACTCTAGCCATAAAGAATTTAAAGAAGGATACTATATGTCCTTTATTAGAATACCCTACTCAGCACAGTCTGCTTTCTCTTATTCTTCATTTCTCCCTCTATAAAAGGCATTGTGCACTTGATTTCTCTAAAATGCCTTTTTGAGTATGGTACTCACCCACTATAATTTTCCTACTATTTTCCTGGCTGGCCTTTTTAAATTTTATTTTTGTTGATATAGTATCAGGGTTTGAACTTGGGGCCTCACACATTCACTGAGATTTTGCTCACAGCTGGAGCACAACCATTTGACCACGCCTCCAGTCAAGAATTTTGCTGCTTAATTGGAGATAGAGTCATATAGAAGTTTCTGTCCAGGCTGGCTTTGAATATCTATCCTATAGATCTCAGCCTTCTGAGTAGCTAGGATATCAGGTGTGAACCACAGATGCCTACCCTGGGGCTGGTCTTTAAATAAACCTGATTTCCTTTCCACTGACTTTCCTTTTCAAGTACTGGCTTTTAAGCAACAAGTATCTTGACCTGGGTCTAGTAGTGCTATGAAGAAATGAAAGACATAAGAGGCTTGGATTGAGGGTTCATAGAAATATGGGTAGATATTTTCAAAAATAAAATAAGACCAATCTTGAAGAGTGTGAAAAAAGCCCAACACTATTCTTAGGAAGTGATCTCTTGGAAAGAACCCCGTGGATTAGATAATCTAGTTGTTTAGTTGTCCACTGGAGATGAAGGGATAAGACAACAGGGTAGGAAACCTATTATTTGAAAGTCATACTGAATGTAAGACTCACTTCCCTTTGTTTGGGCAACTAGTGAGAAGTCTTCATTCATTACTTCTACCTAATAGAGCCACATGGCTGTAGAGGACTTTTTCAATAGTACTGTATCCTGTGTGCACTGGTGATGTTACCAAAATCTGAAATAGTCACTGCTCACTGCTCTAATACAAACTCAGGGGACAGAAACTGGTGGGAAGAAAGAATTTTATTTAAAGCTGGTTCTGAGGAAAATAAAGACTTTTCTATCTCAAATTTCCCATCTTCTATGGCTCACAGAGTGTGAAGTGCTTTTATGGAAAACAAGGGGTTACAGTGAGATAGTGTGTAGAAAGTCCTTTATCTGGATTACGTCTTTCTCTTAAAAATGTTGTAGAGATCAAGCTGATCCCTGCTTTATGTTATTCCATATTTTATAGAATGATAGCCTTCAGGATGTACCTTGCCTAAGTGACTCCATTTTATACAACAGCAATTTGCACCATTTTGTGTGTAAAACTGAGGCAGAATGACTCTACATCTGCTTTATGTAAATAAATGACCACCATCTTTCCAACACAAACTATGAGGCAGACTGATAATTTAATTATGCAAATAAAAGATGACCACTTATAGACATATTATTTTAAATCAAGAATATATACATGGGTGTATCAAACCCACATGTGAAAAATGAGAACAATAAACTTATCAAGTACATCAGATCATTGAATGACGCAAATCCCCTTATTTGAAACATATAAGAGAAAGGACACCTAAGACTGGGGTACAGGTCAACCCATTATCAGACCATCCAGGCAATGAACTGATTTTATACCAGAGGTTTCAGCTCACTTTGATCCTCCTGTCATGCTTGTTGTGACATAATCATCAAATCACTGCCTATTCACATCTAGCACCTGGAACCAGCATTGTACCTTCAACTGGCTCTGTGTCTCAAAATCTCCATGACTGGGCTATTAGAATCTTATCTAATTGCCTGAGGTAACTGTCTTTATCTGTATTAGATCTCTCAAAGAGAAGTTTTAGTTGACTTCTGGATGAGCCTGTTTACCTGCAGCAATGGTAGTGGAGGATTTAAAATAATCAAGCCATCTTAGAAGCAGTGTAGTTGCTTGCAACCTCTTGCTTGACTGGTATTGGTAGGCAGGCATAGGAAAGGATCTAACAACTGCAGCTCAAATAAGAAATTAACATGAAACTATCATTCTTAATGGTTCCTGTTTCCTTCTTACAAAGCTTTACTACCCTCAGGCCTATCCCAAATTCTGCTAGGAAGAAGTGAGTCCCCAACCTGTCTCAACCTGATATCCCAATTAATGAAATAAGTCATTCTGGACATTTTTGTACACTTTCACATTTACAATTTAAAAATGGGTTTGCCTTAGTAAAATTCTGTAATTTCCATGAATGGGGATAAAGTGTCTGTGGAAGAGTCCTCATTTTAGGTGACATGGTAGACAAGTCCCTGGTGCAATTAGGAACCAAGTCAAGGACAGGATAGGCCAGATGGAACACAGATTTGAAAACCAACGGTTCAAGACAATCCCACACTAGAGAAACTTAAGTCATGTTATGAAAAGGAGACAGCCAACCAATAGGTTCCACAAAACAGGGAATAGCCAACCAAAAGTGGTCTAAAGCACTACTACTTCTGATCATGTCTGTGATCAGCTATACCGCTTTGACTGGTTAGCTATCAACTGTGTCTCTCTTGTACCTACAAATCTTTGCTTTCCCTATTCACTTGTCTTTGTAAATTCTTTCACCAGCTGGTGACCTCCGTTCTAAATATTATGACAGACTGTTCTTGATTATTAGTAGTGAAAGTGAAGCCAGAGACTTTGTAATGGATGGTCTTGATGAAAAAGTATGTGCTGGTCAAGGCAGGCAGATTACAATAGATTTCAATGTTATGAAGTTAGCTCAATGAAACCTAGGAAAAGATCGCTGTTTAGAAAAGAAAGAATTCAAAAAGGTAAAGGAAGGGAAGAGAAACGGAGGTAATACTAAATAAATCCCTAAGAGGCAGGGGAGAGAGATCCTTGTTTTAAAGGCCTCAGGTACAGATCCTGACTTGGAGGAAATCAGTTCAAGGGCAAACAGCCTTGCCTTTCTACAGGAACATATGAACTGATTATGTGAGGCAAAGGGAAGAAGTAAACAAGAATAAACTTCCTGCTTAGCTAGAAAATAGCAGCAGATTACATTTGAAAAGAGATAGATATAAAAGAGTTTTGTTATAGTTTCATAGTTTAGGAGAGAGAGTTGTAAAAAGTATTCTGCCAGTTGCCTGTGGCTCAGTCCTGCAATCCTAGCTACTCAGGAGCCTGAGATCTGAGGATCACTGTTTGAAGACAGCCCCAGGTAGCCCATGAGATTCTTACCTCCAATTAACCATCAAAAAACCCAGAAGTAGAGCTGTGGCTCAAGGGGTACAGCATTAACCTTGAGTACAAAAAAGCTCAGGGATAGCATCCAGGCCCTGAGTTCAAGTCTCAGGACCTACACACACACAGAGAAAAAGTAAATATTCCATCCTTTTACAGCCTGTTTCAGTTACTTTGAATGAGACTATAAATGAGTGGCTTATTAGCCAACTTAAATATAATGTCATTGTGACTAACTTCAAGGGAGAAGAATTATGGTAGTAAAAACTCTGGATTTAACTGGCTTTGAACATGACTGCCAAAGCTCTATCTTGCAAATAAGCATTTGCCCAAATTTCAATACTAATGAAAATATAGGAATAAATCAATTTTAAGACATAAAACTTTCTTCCTGCATTTTCATATTTCCCTTATTATGTTATATTACCCACAAGAATCATTAATTTATTTATATACTATATTATATTATATAGTTATATTTTATATATTATATTTTATTATTAGTTTATTATTATCTATATATATGTTATTTTTACATATTATATATTATGTAAAATATAATATATAAAATATGTGATAGATAATTACATTATATATAATTATATAATACATGTCATATATTATAGGATTATATTGTGTATATTATATGTAATATTATATAATTGTATATTATATTCATAATGAGTTGATTAATTCATTAATTTATTTCCTTCTCTTCCTTTGAATTCCAAGTTTGGAATGGAGAAGCCTAGATTTGTGTGAAAAGAGTTGCTGGCATTTCCTCCCATAACTATTAGTAAAACAGGAAAAAGGAAGTGCCTGGGGCCACAATAATCTGCATCTTAAAACTTCAGAGATCCAGCAACCTGAACCTCTTAAGTTAATGGTCATAGATCTCCTTCTGGATCCTACTCTCCACATCAGGGCTGATACATTTCCTTCCACTGACAGTACTAAACTGGGAAGGGCAAAGATGATTAAATGCCAGGCATAAAAAGCAGCCAGGGTACAGTTATCAAACCACTTGAGGAAAGGCCACAAAAGAGAGCCTCAGTTCCTTGGCTTCCTGATCAGATAGTAAAATCACAAGTCCCAACAGCTTTAATGAACTAGTTCCTTAACAGCTAACCTCATCTCTAAGGGTGATAACAGGTAATAATCTGTTAACCAGTCAACCATGACCTCAACTGCTACAATCTCACCTCTTAAGATATAATTCTGCTTTGTAGTTCTTTGACTGCACTTGTGGTAGTGTCCTAATCTTAGATGCTGTGTCCTAACCACAGATAATACATCCATTAGTTCTTTGCTTTTGAAAAATGAAACATATGACAAGGTTGGAGAAAATTTAATTCAAGGAAAGAGAAACATAAAGACAGTTTAAAAACTCTTCAATGTAAGTAACATACCCATGTTTTCCTTTGATAAGGCATCATCAGAGCAAACTTTTTCAATGGAGCACTTTAAAATGGCTTCCCTAGAAAGTAAGTTTGATAGATTTAGTTTCTAAAGATTAATTATATGTAACATAAAGTGCATATATAAAATGATTGTTCACATGTGTTCATTATTCATTGGTAATAGACTAGGAATATAATCTAAGGTTATTTTTCTTGCCTGTCTTATATCATAAGTACTAAGCAGTGAAATAAGCAAAGAGAACTAATATTAATCTTATAAGAGTCGATCTATGACCTTTGATCTGAGCTATTCTCTGTTGCATTCCCTTTGTAATAATCACCCTGTTTGTAAGAGAAAAGAGAAGATTCAGTGATAAACATCTTGTGTGGAAGGCAAACTGTTCCTCAAACAAGCAATGTCTTCTTCATATCATTTTAAAGAAAACTGCCAAAAATTCAGGCAACCTTTTTAGTATAATAAGGTAATAATAACCTCTCTGGAATTCCTCCTGGGATAAAGATTGAGCCAGGCCGGACTTGTAGTTTGGGACTATTTTAACTACACATACTTTTCTTACTCTCTGCCCCCAATCTCTTTATTTAACCTGAAGTGAAGATGGCTGGAGATGTACTGAAGTGCTGTCTTTACATTACTGTCATGTAATAAATTTCCACTCTCTACCCTTCATCCTGTCTTTTTATTTGACATATGAAGGAGAGCGCCAGACCTAACGTGGGACTCCTGGACTTTGGGTGTAAGGTTTAAGTTGTTTTAGCTTGAGCCCTGACTAGGTACAAAGTACTGATAATCGACTAAGCACTCTCTACAGGTTTTCTCAGGTAATTTTCATTCAAAACATGTATCAGCTATTTCTTACATTATGTAAAGAAACTAAGGAGTTTACAAAATCAGAAGAAATGGGAAATCTGGCAACCCAGGTAAATGGCTAAGCATAACAGAACCAGTTTAGTCAAACTGCAGTCATGCTTCTCCTACTGTGCCAGAAAATATTTGTGCAACTGGATTTTCTCTAACTAGAAGATTTTAAGAAAATAAGCTGGAAATCTCCATCTTTTAAATAGAGATAATTATGATAATTAGAGATTCTATATCTATTGATGAGGTTACTGGGATGTATAGCCAAGATAAATACTGAAAGTTTTTAAAGATTTATTTTCTGAAAAAATACGAAGAAGGTGTGTGTGTGTGTAGTTACTTGGGCTTGAAGTCATAATTTTTTTTTTTTGCCTGTCTTGGAGCTTGAACTCTGGACCTAGGCACTATCCCTGAGCTCCTTTTTGCTCAAGGCTAGTCTCTACCACAACACCACTTCTGGCTTTTCTGTGATTAACTGGAGATAAGAATCTCCGGGCTGGCAAGGTGGATCAGTGGTAGAGCACTTGCCTTGCATGCATGAGGCCCTGGGTTCGATTCCTCAGCACCACATAAGCAAAAAGAAAAAAACCAGAAGTGACGCTGTGGCTCAAGTGGTAGAGCACTAGCCTTGAACTGAAGAGGTGAGGGACAGCGCCCAGGCCCAGAGTTCAGGCCCCACAACCGGACCCAAAAAAAAAAGGTCCTCACATCTCAGCCTCCTCAGAAGCTAGGATTATGGGCATGAGCCAACCGCATCCAGCTTAATTCAGGATCTTGAGCTCTTGTTTAGCTATTTTTGTTCACAGCATGGTCTCTACCATTTGAGCCATGCCTCTATGTACAGCTTTTTGTTTGTCAATTGTAGATAAGAATCTCACTGATTTTTCTTGCAAGACTGGCTTCAAACTGACACTTTCATATCTCGGCCCTCTGAGTAGTTAGCATTATAGGTATGAGCCACTGACACCCAACTTTCATACTTCTAAGACTAACACTTTTATTCATTTTATTTTTTACTTGGTGGTAGTAGGGATTGAACTCAGGCCCAACCACTCTACTGCTAAGATATGCCTCTACTCATTTTTTGACTGGTTATATTTGAGACAGATCTTCCTGGTGTGTGACTGGGCCACAATCTGTCTATTTTAGGCTAAACATTGCAGCTAGGGCGACATACCTGCAACCACACCCAGATTCTTTTCCTTAAGAAGGAATCTTTTAAACTTTTCTGCCTTATCTGGCCTAGAACTGCAATGATCCCAGTTTCAGCTCCTATGCATCTCATGTGAAAGGCACAAGCCACTGTGCCCAGCTACTGATTGAAAAATAGTCTCACGTGTATGCCAAGTCTGGCTTTAATCCATGAACCTATCTGAGCCTCCTAAATAGAATTACATGTGTGAGCCACTGATACTTGGCTCTCTTAGAAATTTTGAACACTTTTTCCTAATGAAACAACATCGGGAATATGAAGAAATACATAATAATTGAGTATATTCTGTACATTTCAATTATTATATATTTAATTTTATGAGGTCTACCTTTTATTTTTTCTAAATTTGGGCTTTTTCTTTTTAATATTACTTTTGGAAACATGTATCTATAAAAGAAGAACAAAAATCAAGTTAGTTCATATGGAATTAATTATATCTGCTAAGTATAACATGTTCTATATCACAAGTATAATAGGCCTTGTAAAATCATAGTCCTATAAAATTCAGACAATTTAGCTTTAGAACAACTGGTTCACACTTATAAGCTTTACCAAAAAATTCTCATAATCTAGTCACTGAAACTGTACCAATCTCCTCAGATTCCAGGAATGCTATATGGTCTGATATGGACACACATCTTCTATATTATGCAACATCTTTCCTTATTCACCTTCACAAACACATAAAAATACAGAATAAAATGACTTTAAGTTTTATATCCTTTCAGGAATTAAAAACATTATATCACAGAAGCATGTAAGGATATATCCAATGAATGCAAAGAGAACTAGATGGTCAGTAACATGGAAGAAAGATCAGGCAATACAACACCACCAGGGAAAGAAGTGTTGTTGTTGTTGCTGTCTGGATTTTAGCAGTATCATTTTTTATTTAGACATTGGAGGGAATTCATAAAATTTCCTCTGAACCTTTAGGCCAGACTTCAAAGCAATTTTCTCTTCAAAATGTTTGTTAACTTCTTTATTTCTTTTCTTTCTTTTTTCTTTTTTGGGTCCAGTCGTGGGGCCTGAACTCTGGGCCTGGGCACTGTCCCTTAGCTCTTTAGCTCAAGGCTAGTGCTCTACAACTTGAGCCACAGCGCCACTTCCGGCTTTTTTCCTTTTGCTTATGTGGTGCTGAGAAATCGAACCCAGGGCCTCATGCATGCAAGGCAAGCGCTCTACCACTGAGCCACCTTCCCAGCCCTAACCTATCTGTATAATTCTGTTTTTAACCTATCTGTATAATTCTGTTTCTTGGTTCATTTGTCTAGTTCACTCTGTCTCCTTGATCTTGATTATACTGATATTAAACCAACCGGTAGAAACAACTTTTTAAGATATACAAATTGTTGAGCAGTTAGAAATACTATACTTATTGAAAATGTAAAGGCCTGAATTTAATAAGATTCAAAGAATGATTAAATATCTAAAATGCTTTAATGATTTCTTAAGAGAGGTTTGAGACATTCAGGGATTCATAGTACAATAATTATAATTCTATAGACCAATTAATTTATTTTCACATCATTACATTCAAGGTAACTAAATCTCTTTCTGTGTATTTGCACATTGTAAAACAAAACTATATCATTGTATAAATCATTCATCTTTATTTCCCAAAACAATGTAGAGCTATTTTTTCAAGTTGCCAGAACTGGAACTTGAATTTATGACCTAGGCACTGTCCCTGAACTTTCATGCCCAAGGCTAGCACGCTACCCCTTGAGCAACACTTTCAGCATTTTTTTTCTTTTGTTGTTATTTGGAGTTAAGAGTATCATGTGCTTTCCTGCATAGGCTAGCTTTGAATACAGTCCTCAGATCTTAGTCTCCTAAGTAGCTAGGATTATAGGCATATGCCACTGGCACCCCCCTTCTGTGTCATTTTTAAGAACCAGCTTAAATTATCTTTACTTTTGACTATGAAGTAAAATTGTAATGAGAAATATATGAGTAATGTAACAAAGTGAAAACTAATCATTGGTAGATTGATGTTGTGCACAATAAATTCATTTTCTACTTTGTTAAATACTCCACAGTAACCTAAGCAAATTAGTCAATATTTGCCAAAATGCTCTGTGTTCTGCTCCAAACCATTAACAAAGTTTGACAAAAAGGAGCAAGATTCAGCATGGCAAAATTGAATGCCAACCCTTATCAATTCTGTTAAGTCACTTGACCACTCTAATATCTTAGAAAGAATCTGACACAAATTAAATACTTTAAAAATGCAGCTGAAAAGGCCACTCTGCATTTCAGGGTCTTCTTCTGTAAAAATAATTCTTTTTTAATTTTATTTTTTTCTTCATATATTTTATTGTTATTATAAAGGTAATGTACAAAAGGGTTACAGTTATATGTCAGATAAAGAGTACATTTCTTTTTGAACAATGTTACAACTTATTTACATTTGTTTCCAATTTAGTTTGTAATTATTTAACACTGGGCCATGAACTCATTTTTTTTTTCTTTATAGTATATAACTGAGAGAACTTAGCCTTTTAGTATGGTTTATCTTCAGGTATGCTAGTTTCCAAACCAGCATTTTTATAATAAATTAGCACAAAACTGATAAGGTGATAGAAATGTAACACCTTATAGTTCTGTTGGCTATGTTCTATGCGGATAATTATTACATTGAGGGCCTACCTAATCCCATATTATATAATCACAATATTCTCGCTGCAGTTTCATCCACAAATACCTTTATTTCAAATGAAGTGACAGTCTTAGGCTCTGAGCAGACTTTTTTTTTGGGGGGGTGGGATGGAGACTACTAACTCACTATATGTACGTAGATACTGTAATTCTTACCTATCATATCCTTTCCAGTTCATTTCCCATGATTGCATAGACAATTCTCTTGTCTAGCCCAGTGTCATCCACAAAACAAAACAAAACAAAAAACAAAAAAACACAGTATGACTCAGTGGTCTACACCTGAGAGCATGTTTGAAATGCAAATTCTTGTGAACACTAGGTTTGCTGAATCAGAAACTCCAGAATAAGACCTTGGTCTGTGTGTTTAAATAAGCTTCTCAGGCAACTCTTAAGCAAACTAAAGTTTGCATTGTTCTGGTACTTTCACATCCAACAAATATAACAGTCTATAAATGGCATTTATTTTAGCCATCAGATTATTAATTCTTCTCCTGATAGAAGGATGAAATGTGGAAGTATATATGTATAGAAAGTACCTGAAAAGAAAATATTCCTATAATAATAATTAAGACCATTGACTAGAAATGCCTTTAAGTTAAAAACACAGACATTATGTTCATATCAGATTTATATGCTCTGACTTGATGCTGTACTGTGTATTTCTCAGCTTTGATGACAGAAGGATAAAACACCATAATGTATATTCAAGCTGTGAGCTGACACATAGGAGAGTCCTTTCCCTAAAAATAGAAGTTGGTCACCAGGTCATCTTGAACAAAAGGCATGAAAGATTTTAACACCTCCAATTGTGGCTGAAGATAGGAGTAACAGGAAACTTCAAGGAGCTCTAATATAGTAAAGAAGTGCTTCACTTCCAGGTACTTCACTTATAATGAAAAGGTAGATTAGTAAAGACCCAAGGCCCCTGGACAGTATGTTGGTCTAGCAAGCAGAAATCAGTTGCAAAACACACATCGTTTTGACTATTGTTTCTGTCCCTATCTAGCTTCTTCTAGTTCCAATAACCTTTTCACGATCTTGGGGAGAGGGTTTGCAAAAGGGATCAGATTAGAAATTAACAACCAATCAAGTGTTGGGAACTGACCAATACAAAGTCACCTTCCTAAATACCTAATCATAAAAGGGACAAGCAATCAGAGCACAGCCCTAGACTCAAGCCACAGAGTGCACAAGGCTGTACACACACACACACACTCACGCGCATGCGCGTGTGCATGCACGCACACACACAGCAGCTATGGTTTTCGAATGAGATGCTTCTCTTCTTAGTAAATTTCTCTGCACTCATCTTCTCTCATCAGTGGACTTTATTGCTGAATTCCTGAGATAAGAATCTAAGAAGGCTATAGCTGCATAGCCTTCAGTGTAGCTGCAACATTGGCAGGCATTGTTTGCTGCTGAGTTGCAACACTAAGCAGGCAATGCCTGTTATACAGCTGCAACCCTATGTCTCTGTCAGCTACAGAACCAGGAAGGTCAGGATGCCATAAGGGTTTTGTAAGCTCTGCACAACACAAACAGCAGAATAAACGTGTCTCAATAGTATGAAAGTCTTCATGATCTTTGAATATCTATACCTAAGATAAAACTTAGAAATTCAGGTTCCTTTCTGTTTTCTTCTGGGCAATTTTTATTCTCATTATTTTAATTTTAATTTATTATTATTATCCTTAAGTAGTTGTACAGAAGAGTTGCAATTTAACGAAGTAGCATATAAATACAATATATCGTCATCAATGTCATCTCTTTCAACATTCATCCATTCCTCCCCTAAACACCATTTCCTTCACTCTTAAATTGTATCGGCTATAAATCAAACTACCATCTTCATTTTGCCCCTCTTCTCCCCTTTAGTCACCTACCCCTTTCCCAAGTATCTGCTTCCTGGTATTTTATTTTGCTGAGCTTTGATTTTGGCTTTCAAAAAACTGCATTATTTGTGATTTCCCTTAAATCCCAAATTCAAACTCTTTTACAGAGCTATCATAATTAAAAATCCAGCATGGTACTGGCACAAAAACAGCCTGAAGATCAATGGTACAGAATAGATGACACAGAAATAAACCCACAGACCTGCAACCATTTAATATTCAATAAGGGAGCCCAAAACTTAGGCTGGAAGAAAGATTATCTCTTCAATAAATTGTGTTGGCAAAACTAGATATCCACATACAGACAACTGAAACTAGATTCTTATACATCACCTTGCACTAGCATCAATCCAAAATGAATTAAAGACCTTAATGTAAGATCTGAAACCATGAAATTATTACAGGAAAGAGTAGGGCTCCTAGGTGGGCATAGGTAGAAACTTTCTGAATAAAGATCCAGAAGTACAGCAAATAAAAGAGAAAAAGACTTGATAAATGGGACTGTATCAAAAAAGTTTCTGCATGGCAAAGAACATAGGCAACAAGCTAAAAATACAGCCTACAGAATGGGAGAAGGTTTTTGCCATCAGACAATGGCCTAATATCCAGAGTATACAGAGAACTTAAAATATTAAACTCTCAACAAAACTTCCTTTTTTAACACAATATATTTCACTGTTAGCTATCCAGACAAATGAAGGGTGTTAAATAAAATGTATGGAAAGCCAGGTGCTGGTGGCTCATGCCTGTAATCTACTGAGGAGGCTGAGATGTGAGGATCATGGTTCAGAGCTAACACAGGCAGAAAAGTCCCTGTGAGATTTTTATCTCCAATTAACCACTCAAAATCCAGAAATGGCACTATGGCTCAAAACTGTGCTCAAATGAGCACAAAGAGGCTCAGAGATGGTGCTTAGGCCGAGAGTTCAAGCCCCACAACTGACAAAATAAACAAATGAAGAAAGAGAAAGAAAGGAAAGAAGGAAGGAAGGGAGGAAGGAAGGAAGGAAGGGAGGGAGGGAGGGAGGGAGGGAGGGAGGCCACTGGTATGGAGGCTCCTTCAACAAACCAGGATAGAGTCGCTTTTTCTAGGTGCCAAATAACCACACTGAACTTAGAACAGGCTAGTTTTCTCAGAAGCAGAAGGCTTACCATGATCTAGCTAGAATGGGCCTATGATGCATCCATAAGTAAATACATTGGTGGTATACAATTGTTTACTAATGGATTAACTGAAGTATAGTATAGACTCTATGGAGAGCTCAAATAGTATAATCTTGTAGAAGGATAAGGTCAAAGCCCAACAAAACCAACGCCAGGAAATGGGTACATCTAAGTGGGGGAATAAGAAGGGAAGAGGGATGAAGGTGGGAATGTATTCAAGAATTCATCCTATATATCACAACACTAAGAAAAGTAAGGGAAAGGGGTGGAGAATGTTGAAGGGGTGACACTGATCAAGATGCATTGTATTAATAAACTGCTTTGTTACACAGCACCTTCTTTGTACAACTACTTACAGATGATTTAAAAAGTAAATAGTAATAATAAAAGACTTACCACAACCAATCTAAAGGGGTCCAGTTAACCTGAGCCAGCATGCGAAAGAAACTTTCTCTATTGTAACCCACACAAGGAAACAGCTGTAAATGGTCTGATATTAAGCAATCTGCCTTTTATATTAAGCTATCTCTATACTGCTGGGGCTGCTTTCAAAAGCTGATATGATCATTCTGTTATATACTACTGACTGATTTATGAATGGCTAATAAAACCAATTAGATCTTTAAATTCAATTTATTGAAATTTTATTCTTTGACAACTGAAAGAAAACTAATCTAACAATACAGAAAATGCAAAACTTGTGATGGAAAATCTCAATGATTATATCTGAAAAGCACTTTGGTTTACAAAAAAAATTAGTTTCCAAAAGGAAACTAAATGAATTTTAAACCCAACTGTGACTTTTCTGAAGGGTTCACTGCTTTCTAGTATCTTCTGAGCTTTCTCTCTGCCTAGGATTAGAAACCAACAGTAAGGATCTGATGGAATATTTATCTTTGGGGAAATATGCATATAAAGCTAAGTAAATTAAGTGACTTGAAGTACATAAATTCCATATTAATAATTGTGAGCTTAGTAATTAACAGGAACATCTAGATATTCAGTCATAAATTGTAAACAACTTCTACTAACCAAGCTAATGAAAATTTTCTGCTTGCTATGAAGAATTTGTTAATAACTCTAGAGAAAATTTTTTCATCATAAGGTTTAATACCCTAAATTGTTTGTTCATAAATGTATAAATTAAGAGAGTGATCATAAATTTTTATCTTTTAAATGGCATTAACTAAATTATTGACACTAATAAGCATTAGGAAAAAGACATAGCCACATAATTTCTCTATGTAAGACAGACAGAATAAACTGAAAAAGAAGTCCTTTTCTAATTTGAAATTATACCCGGTAAATAAAGTAAAAAAAGAAAAGAGAGACAAAGAGACTAGAAAAATTATAGAATCTCCAAAATGAGTTGTTGAGCAAGTATGAATCAATGACTTTCAATTCATTAATATGTCTGTATTTAGTTGTAATGTCTAGATATTTTCTTGTACTATGTGAATTGTAATTATCATTAGCTAAAAAACTTCATTCTTTTGCAGGGCAAAATTATCCAGAAATTTTAAATAGTTTTATTTTTTAAATATTTAAAAATGATCTTCAAATAGTTGTACAAAGGGGTTTCAATTTATTATGTCTATTTGTGTGTACAATGAATGAGTCTCGATGAATCTTCCCTTCTCCAATCTGTTCCATCCACACTCATTCTTAAAATTTCCTAGTCCATAAACATATTCTAAAAGTAATTTTAAAAAACATAAAACAATGTGGAAAATATTTGTGATTATGAAAACTGTAAGTATATTATAATTATAATTATCAACAATTATAACTATAAAACTAAACACATAATAGAAAAATGGCTGTAACTAAATATATCAACTTAATAAAAAATTTTAATCTTTAATTAAGATGGTAACTTCCCAATGATTCTAAAATTCTGTCTTCCAGGGGTAATCCCTGATAATTGAGAGAAGAAAGATGAAAGTTTGAGACCAGACTGGGAAGACAGTGAGGGATACCCTGACTCAATAAATAAGCCAGGTATGTTGACATGTGCCTGACCTCCAAATTATAAGAGATACTTTAGGTAGGATGATAACTGTCTGAGAAGAGTCCCAGGCCTAAAGACCCTACTTGAAAAATAGCTAAAGCAACAACGTGTGGGGGTGTGACTGAAGTGATACAGTGCCTATCAGGAAGTGCAAGGCAGAGAGTTCAAATTCCAGCACTCACACACACTTGTGTGAGTGTATGTGTGTGTGTGTGTGTATATTAGATAACAAAACTATGGTATCTATGATGCTGGTTACTTTGGATAGGATACACAATCTCATGGACTTTCCTGTCTTAAATCTCTATCCTTCAGATCTCAGCCTCGTGAGTAGTTAGGTTTAAGGCCACTAGTACCAATCTGAAACAGTCTAGTTTTCAAAGGACTTATAACACACACACACACACACACACACACACACACACACATACAAATACAAAATGATGCCCATCCAATTTCCCAGATCCAATTTCCCAGTCATCTCTAGATTCATGCCTAATCACCTTTGTTGAAACTCCCTAGGGTCTGCCCTGTTCCAATTCCACCAGTCAGCACAGGAAATCCTACCATCATCTTTCCTTTATACCATAATTCATTTTATTGTGAACAAACTGGAAGAACTTGTTCTATGTATGTTTTTCAGTAGCATTCCATAAAAGCATGGCCACTTGAGAACATCAAGGTTCATGCTATATAAATCATATTTTTGACAGTAAGTAAGCATTTTTTCACATATTCACAATATATTCAATTCTTAAAAAGAGAAATAGTTCAGAAATTCTACTGAGTTTATAATTTTTCATGAAAAAGACTGTGTTCAAAAAAATTGGTTGAGGGGCTGAGAAGGTGGCTCAGTGGTAGAGCGCTGGCCTTGCATGCATGAGGCCCTGGGTTTGATTCCTGAGCACCACATAAGCAAAAAGAAAAAAGCCAGAAGTGGCACTGTGGCTCAAGTGGTAGAGCGCTAGCCTTGAGCTGAAGAGCTGAGGGATAGCCCCCAGGCCTAGAGTTCAAGCCTCAAGACCGGACCCCCCCCAAAAAAAAAATTGGTTGAAATGCCCGATGGTAATGACATATCTATATTCCCAGCACTTGGATAGTAGAAGTATAGCAAGTTCAGGCCAATCTGGGCTACATGGTGAGAACTTGTAACTAAATAAGACAAAAATAAAACAAAACAAAAATTTCAAATGAGTGATACAATACCCATACTAAGCTATAAACTCCAATTATTTAAAATTTCCATAAGATAATCTGTAAATACTATAGCAATTTAAAGTAGAAGAAAAAATACTTTAGTATATGAGTATGCATAAGAAACATTTTTGCATATGAGTATGTATATGAGATATAAAATAAACAATTATTTAAAGGAAAGTAATTGTTCACTTGTCCTCTTATTTCTACTGTTCTATTTCCCAATTCTGAAACACTGATACAAGTAATCATAAATGTTGGTTTTGTAGAGCCAGTCTAAGAAAACAAATATATGCTCAACTAACCATTGGAAGAAAAAATAGATTATTTCTCATATTGTTTTTAAATAATTTTATTTTCTTTGTAAAATAGCATCACACAAATAGAATTTGAAGTTCATTTATAATTTTTTTTAAAAAAACACGATCTTACCCTTTTCTTGGCCATCATAGAAACTTTGCTATCCGCTTTGGATTTATCTACAAAATAATCAAATAAAAGACATTTCAAAAGTGTCTGTAATCCCACTCAAATGAAGGCATAATTAAACAATTACTACAGTACTTTGTTTCCAGTGGTCCTTTAAGTGAAAATTCTAAAAAATTTAGTAGACTGAAGTTGAATAGAGCTAACCAATCCAAAGGAATAATACCTGGAATTGATACCTGTGTTTGAAAACCTTCCTCTAACTTTCATTGGTTAGTTGCACTTCCTTAAGATAGCATCTAATATGCCTGATTGCTAGGCTCTTGTCAGCTTGCAATGTTCTTGAATATATTGTGTCAGGAATTAAATCCAGGATATTATGACATGCACATCTATTATATGCAGGATTTTGAATAAGAACTTGGAGGGAGGGGTAATGAACTGGGGCTTTGTGCTTGTTAGTCAGACACTCTCCTACTTGAGCCATGACACTAATACATTTGGCTCAATAATTAATTAATTTTATTTGCACTGGTCCTGGGGCTAGAACTCTGGACCTGGACACTGCTGCTGAGCCTTTGTGTTCAAGGCTATCACTCTACCAGTTTAGTCACACCTCCTCTTCTGGCTTTTTGTGGTTAACTGACGATAAGAATGTCACAGACTTTTGTAACCAGGTTGGCTTCCTATGATCAATCTTCAGATATCAACCTCCAGACTAGATAGGATTATAAGCATAAGCTTTTCAGGAGTGATCACCCCTTTTATCTAGAAACCTCAACTAGAGGATGTACTTTTGCTTTGTATTAACAAAACTACTCCTGCTTAAGTCTCCTCGGTGATCATCCTTAAATACTTACTCTGATATGACAAGAACTTTCTGGCTCCTGGACCCAATGACTTATTTTAGCAAGCCAAGTCAGGAGAGTTGAGTAAAACCCATTTCAAAAGCAAAACCAAGGACCCAAATGAAACTCCCCATGATAAGATAAACTATAAAAGCAAGTAAGCATGAAGAAAAAAAGAAACCATAGATTACTAATATCAGAAAATAAAGAGGAGTCACTGTTACACATACCATAGGCTTTAAAAGGATGATAAAATATACTGTGCACTATGCCCATAAATTTGATAATCTATATGAAATCATCAGTTTTGAAGTATATAATCTGCCAACACTCACAAGAAAAACTAGGCAATGTGAATAGGACTAAATCTACTAAAGAAATTGAGTCAATAATCTTCTAAACTAAACCTCCAGGCTCAGATTGGTTCTACCAAACATTTAACAATGTAATTATACTAATTCTATACAAACTCTTCCAAAAGATAGAAGCAGAAGAAATATTTATTACTTCACTTAGCAAGACCAGCACTTGCCTAATACATAAACAGATATACATAACAAGAAAATAAAAGTTTAGATGAATAAATATAAACAGAGATGTAAAATTTGTTAATAAAAAGCAATGTTAGCAAATGAAATCCAATAATATAGAAAGAAAATTCTATACAATGATAAAGTGAGACTTAACCAAGGATGTAAGATGTCTCAACAACTGAAAATAGATTAAAATAATTTTTCCCATAAACAGACTAAAGAGAAAAACAAAACACCTGACCCTACTAAGAGAAGACCTTAGCAAAAATCCAACACTTACTCATAATTAAAAAAAAAAACAACAAAACCTCGGGGGGCTGGGAAGGTGGCTCAGTAGTAGAGCGCTTGCCTTGCATGCCTGAGGCTCTGGGTTCGATTCCTCAGCACCACATAAGAAAAAAGCCAGGAGTGGCACTGTGGCTCAAGTGGTAGAGCCCTAGCCTTGAGCTGAAGAGCTGAGGGACAGTGCCCAGGCCCAGAGTTCAGGCCCCACAACCAGACCCCCCCAAAAAAACAAAAAACAAAAAAAACTCGGCAAACTAAAAGAGAAATAGGAACTTACTCAATTTTATCAAGAATATTTCAAAACAATCTAAGGTTAACATATTAACTGCCCTTCTAAACCACCCTTTCCAATGACGTTGGAATTTATAACTATTGTTATAAAAAATAAAAATATAAAGTTTGGAAGGAATAAATAAAAGTTGTGTTTGTTCACAGAATATATGATTACTTATGTAGAAAATCCAAAAATATTAATGAAAAAGAAAACTCCTGAAACTAGTTAGAAGAAAATTGAGGGAAACAAGGTAAACATACAAAAGTCCATAACTATTCTCTTACCATAAATGATCAAGTGAATTTGATGATAAAACACAGTATTACTTACTTTAATTCTACCAAACATGATATACCTAGAAATCAATCTAACAGGCCATGTTTAAACTCTAAAGGAAAACTATAAATCTCCAAAGAGACAGGTTAAAAAATAAATAATAATAAATGTGGATAGATTTTATGTTCATGGCTAGGAAGATTCATTCATTTCAGGATGTTAATTCTCCCCAAATTGATCTATAGCTATAACACAATCCCAATTAAAATTTCAGCAGGTTATTCTGAGGAAATCTTCAAACTGATTCTGAAGTTTAAATAAAGAGGAGAAAGACTTGTAACCACTCTGTGTTGAAAAAAAGTTGGAAAACTGACTGACCCAATTTAGACTTACAATAAAGCTCAAGTAATATAAAAACAATGTGGTATTGTGAAAGAATAGACAAATTGATTAATGACACAGAATAGAGAGCTCAGCAATAGACCAACATAAATATACTTAACAGATCTTTGTTAATAGAGCAAAGACAATGACAATGGTTCTTTAATAATAGATACTTACATGCAAAAAAATGAAAATATAGACCTTACAAAAATTAACTCAAAATAGATTATAACCTTAAACATAAAATATAAAACTACTTAAATTCTAGAAATAAGTGCTATATTTTGAAAGTGAATTTCCTTTAAAGGTCCATGTGTTTTGTTCTCGGGTAGAGCTTTTGGGAGTCTGAAGCCTTTGGCATGTGAGACTTTATGGGAGATCTTCAAGTAACTAGAGTCATAGCATCAGAGAGCTTTGTGGACCCTATCTCCTTCCTTTTCAGCTTTGCTTAGTTTTCAGAATATAAAATAAGTATTTCTGTATGATCAAAAGCTTTTAAGTACCAGTAGAAGAGTTACTAAGTTGGAGCCATGGTTAGTTAATACCACAAAAACTAAATCATGTGGAAGTAGCTTTGTGATTTATTATAATCTGATTAAGTAAATCAGATTAAGTTATAATCTCATTATGTTTTATTATAAATCACTTAATGCTGTACATTTTAACAATGAAAGAGGTGTATTAAACAACAATGTATAAATTCATGCAGAATCAAAAGAATGTGGATAATATTAGAACAATTATTTCTAGATTGGACTAAAAAATTAATAGGTGAAAAAAATCCTCAAAATGGCTCCGATGAAATGTGAATGCTTTTAATGTACTTAATTTATTTGTGAAATGTCTACATAATGGCCTCAAAAACTACCTTTTAAAATATGGTGAGAAACTGATTACTACATCAGACCCTACACTGGGTGTCAAGCAGATGCAAGAATGAATACAGATATTTTATAAACAGTGAAGAGACTGATCATATTTTGACAAAGATATAATTAATGGGAATCAAGTCATGTCTCACTACTTTGGAGCCCTCAAGACAAAAAGAAAGTACTTAGAGCACAGCTCTCAACAATAAAATGAATTACATCAAATTCTATGATTTTAGCAAGAAAATGAACTACTATAGTAGCAATCAGAAAATAACTATTCTCCAAGAACTCTGGAAAGGGATGGAAAGGACATAGTACCCACACAAAATAGAAAATACATAGTTCATAATCGTTAATAAAGTAAGACTACTGCTAGTGGAAAGCGGACCCAAGCCAGGAGCTAGTGACTCATGCTTACATACTAACTAATTAAGAGGCTGAGATCTGAGAACTGTGATTCAAAACCAGCTGAGACAGAAAAGTCCATGAGACTCTTGACTCCAATTCACCAGCAAATAAGCCATAACTGGGTGAACAGATGGCTGGCACAGATGTGGGGGCAAATGGAGATCTAATATACTTTTGGGAATGGAGGTTGATGTAACTACTCTGAAAAACAGTTTGGAAATTTCTCAAAAAAAATTAACAACTACCCTATGATCCAGCAATGTCACTCTTGGGCCTTTATCCATGAGATTTCAAATCAGGGGACACTAAAGCCATTTGCACAACTATGATCACTGCTACACTATTCACCATAGACATAGTATGGAAAGAACCCAGATTCCCCTCAGTGGATGAAATGATTGAGAAAATGTGGCCTATATACACAATGGAATTTTACTCATCCGTTAGAATTATATACATCATTTGCAAAAACAAAAACAAAAAAAGGATCTGGAAGAGATTAAGTAAATCAGCGCAGAGAGGCAAAAGAAATATATTTTCTCTCATCTGTGGAAGCTAAATGTAATTTATAAATGTACAAGTAAACACATACCACATTGTATATGATAATATTAAAACATAATTTAAAAAATACAGACAGTAGGACTGGAGGAAGATGGCAGAGGAGAAGCTGGAGGCTAAACAAACTCTCACATAGAAAGCAGTTTTAGTGTTCCAGTGAACAGTCCTAGGCACCAAGTGTGCCATCACAGTACAGAGAGTTTGGCCAGAGAGGGAAAATCCAGGCAGCCTGGTCAAGGAGACAGATCTGAGCACTTGCTAGTAGCAGCGGCCCGGCCCCATACCAACAAAGAGAGTCCAGGACAAAGGCATCAGACGCAGCGTGTGAGCAGATTCTATGCACCACAAGCAAGAACTAACAAAGAGCATAAAACTTTATCCTACTGATCGTGGACCAGGGAAGGCCCAGGAATCAGGAGTCTGGCATGAGTAAAACCCTGACATCCTCACTCCTTCTTACAGAGCCACGGTGGGATGACAGCTCCTCCCCCACCACCAGAGAAGATCTCCATCTGACAATGGCCTGGTTGAACAGCTAGCTCTAACTCAGGCCTTGGAAGAAAACAATTGGAGCCATTCAGCAAGTCATGGGAACCTGACCTTACCTGACAG